GTTAAACTCCGTTATCAATTTCGGGTATTATTTTTCCGCTTTTATTTCGCATTCTCACTAATCTGGTTATAGGGAAATTACTCGTACTCGTTTTATTTCCCAAAAATGTCTATTTGGCTTGTTTACTTATAAATAATTATAATGACTCTATACATAACACCATTAGCTTAGACTATTAAAAATATTCGTACGCCACAACCGAGAAGAAGATTTTAACCACTTCCTTCTTCTTCACTATCGTTTTCCCTTATTTCTTCATCTCTCTCGTAGAGAAACATCTCTCAACAATCATATCCTTACCGACCACAATTATCTACCCAAATTAAAAAGAGGTGATTGAATCACCAATGCCGTTAAGATCAATTTATTCCCATTAGCATATGTGTAATATTTTTGTACACCAATAATAAATTTATGAAATCAAATAATTACTTTTACTAAAAATAAACAATGAAATTCTTTAATGAATTATTATAATTTAATTTATTAATTGTTTATAAATTCATAGAATATTCTATGAATAGATCAAATATAGTGTTTTATATAAAACAATCTAATATTTATTATCGTGGAAAAGATAGTCAAAAGAGATGATTAAAGAAAGGTTCACTTTCTTTGAATATTTGACGATTTTGATTTTCTCTATTCTATTCACTTCTTGAACATTACAACGCAAAGCCCATTGATTCTTCCTAGCTGGATAATAAATTTCAAATTTAAGTCAACTTTTTAATAATTTATTAATTTTTTAAATAATTTACGATGATTATAAAATAATATTTGTATAAATTTTTCTTATTTATTGTCAACACATATATTTTACAAATATAATTACTCAAATTCATATTTGTAAAAGAATAATATTTTATTTTACTAACGACAACGGATACACTTTACAAGTATAATTACTCAAATTCAGATTCTTAAAAAAATAATATTTAATTTTACCAAGACTATTTAATAAGTTTTATTTTACTAATAATTTTCTTCGAAGAATATACCCCTTTCTTTCACCAATTGATTCGTTCTACACGTTTTCAGCCCACTGGACGGTTCAAACCGAAAGGCAACACTTAATCTTTGTACAAACAAAACCCATGCCAAAAGGTTGATGGCCTACGGATCTCAACTATAATAATGTTTAACATCCAATTTTTCTAATCAATAAATTCCTAAACCATTTTCTTTGTATTACCTAAAATTTTCAGAGACACTTTTGATCTTGAGAAGCCAACTAAAGAGCTGAAAGGATGAGTGTGGAAGTGTTGGACAGTGCCACCATCGTTAGCTTCGTCGAAGATGAAGAAGCGTTCAATGTCACAATACTGAACCGGTTCGCTCACCTGGACGCCGACCATGACGGGCTACTGTCTTACGCGGAGCTGTTGAAGGAATTGCAGAGCTTGAGGGTGTTTGAGACTCATTTCGGCATCGACGTTAAGATGGACCCGAATGAGCTGGCTCATGTTTACGAGTCAATGTTTGTGCAGTTCGATCATGACTCGAACGGGACGGTGGATTTGGAGGAGTTCAAGTCGGAGACAAAGCGAATGATGCTTGCTATGGCGAACGGGATGGGGTTCTTGCCGGTTCAAATGGTGTTGGAAGAAGGCAGCTTCTTGAAGATTGCTGCGGAGCATGAATCTGCTAAACTTGCTGCTTGAATTCTCTTCATTTCCAAACATCTAAATCCTTATCTGTTACAATAACTGATATTTTGTTTTTGTTTTTCATTTGTTTCCAACATTTCCCATGTTTTAGAATAGGATCTAATAGAGTATCAGAGTTTGTGTTTGAATCACGTTAATTAATTTGATTTCCAATCTTTAAACTGTTTGTAGGATTGTTGTTTACAATTTTACTCTTGATTTTGTTTAGCCCAACCATAAGCTAACTCATTGAGGCTTGGGATTACTTTGGATGATATAAAGCCTTGCCTCATATTTTCATCGATCTATTGAAGCCTATAGATATATAGTTCTTTGTCATAGCTTTACCACGACATTCTTTACTGGTTAGAACTGATTCTTTAGCTAATCCAAGCCGTTTAATCAACATTTGAACTTCACTTACATCTTTGTCTTATTATATTTTACAATCTCCTTTATACACTCCAATTTCCATCATTCCATATTCTTTTGTTTTCAATTTACTTTGATTACAACTCGTTCATTTTTAATCCCAACCGTGATGATTTAAGTCAAATTATATTACTTGTTCGACCTGTATATTTACACTAATTACATGCATATCATAGGCAACACTAGTCTAATAACTTGTATTATTTTATAGAACTAAAGCACGACCCCATGAGTCAATCTCAACTGGACTTATCAGTCCTTGATTCATCAAACTAAGACCCTGGTTTTGTCCCATATTTGAAACCGTTCCTTGAGCAAGATTAACTGACATTATACTCTGGCTCAACAAATCATGTTGTCGAGTCTTAGTATCAAGTTTATAAGGCTGTTAACTTGAGGTTCTGACTGCTACTACTGGTTCATACAAAGTATTGCTAGCATATGAATTGTCTCGGTCAATGGATGTCCACAAGTAGCTAGGCAATCACATATAGCATGTATTTCTGCAAGATACTCACGCATGGATTGATCCCTTTTTAGAAGACTCTTTAAGGAGCAATGAAGATAGACCTAGTTGTTGAGTAGGTTAAAAATATGAGTTGCAGGTTATCCAAGATTTCAAAAGCTGACTTACATCGAATTAAATTCGACAAAATCAATGGATGAAAGAAGCCATGATGCAAGAGAATTATCTTCTTGTTTATACCACAAATATTTATCATTAACTTCTTTATTACCTTCACTATCTGTAACAAACTATGAGGGAAATTATAGAGATTAAGAAGATATATTAAACTGATATATGAGAAAGACTTATTACAACTGAAAGAAGAAGTCCAGATGAGAAGTATTATTTGATAACATATCAATTTACAATCTTACCAATGAACTCAACTCTTGATCTACATTTATAGATCCTATACATTCTGTAACAGAAAATTGATAGTTATATCAAACTAACATACTTGTGTTGAGAAGAGAACCATTTACCAACATTAATTAACCTTAATCAATAAAATATATGATTTCTATATTTTATTAAAATACTTTTTGTTCTAGTTAATTTCTTTCGAATGATTATTCGGGCTAAAGATAATAATTAATTATGGTAATCGTTTATATGATTAAAGAAGTGTGAATAATGATAAAAGATAAAGAAATCGGTATGAGGCTATGAGCAATTGAGATAAGAAAAAATGACTATTATTTTGGAATTGTATTTTAAGCTTGAATTTCTGATGATTTGATTAATTTTTTTCGTTGAAGAGAGTGGGTACCCTAGGTACAAATTAACCTGGTATTTCCACCTGTCTCATACAATCAGCCTCTTGAGGCATCTGCTCAAATACGTGTAAACCAGTGGGGAGCTTCCATGCATACTTAGCTAGCTTGTCAGCTTCCTTGTTCTTCTCCCTGGCGGTGTATTCAATTCTGACTGTTCACTCAGCCTTTAGCATATCATCAACGTGTAGCCGAATCGTAAGATGTCTCATTTCCTCTCTTCCTGTTTTGATGACCTTCACTGCATCTTTGTTGTCCGTCTCGAGTATTATTTTTTGTAGCTCCACTTCTCCTAGCACTTTTAAGACCCTCGTAAATGCCCCATAGTTTTGCCTCTAAAATCGAGCAAAAGCCAATCCTTTTTGCAAATCCTTCTCTCCAACCTCCTGTAGAGTCTCTAATTACTCCGCCACAAATAGTTTATCCCGTGCTAATGTTTCGGGCTCCATCTGTATTAATCCTAGTCCACTCGGTAATTTGGTGGTTGCTTCCTTCTTGTTATTGGCTGCACCATCTGGCTTCATGAAAGTTTTGTTTTTGGAATGCTTTGCTAATTTGTTGCGTTAGTCTGACACCTTTCTCCGGTATTGTTTCCCTCTCTATTAGGTTTGGTTCGAAGTTCGAACACTCCTTTATTTCTTCTATCCCAGATCGTCCAAATTAGTCTCCCAAAGAGAATTCCCCATTCATTCTTATTGGTAGCTGGGAATGAGTCTTCTACCAGATTCTTCCTAATCCATTCTCAGATGTTACACGTTAGAAACTCCTCTAACTTGCTTGGTCTGATCAGCTGTCTCCATAAGATAAAGGCAGTAGGGCAAGTTCTTAAAACATTGCTTACGTCCTCCAGTTCCTCTCCACAACTCCGGTTTCTAGTGTCTGTTGTCAGGTGTCTCCGAGCACGTTCTTCATTAGTAAGGAGCTTTTTAATGCTTACCAGCCAAAGGAAGCATTTTATTCTGTGGGGGGGGGGGGGTTTGGCTTTTTGCAATAACCTGCCAGACTTCCTCGTGGATCTCATCGTTTACTCCTTCCATAACTTTGTAGGCAGATTTAACAGTGAAGGTTTTCTTAGTCGTGTTCTTCCAAGCAGGTTTATCCATTCCCATGTTGTTTAAAGGCGGGGGAATGGCTTCGATTCTTTGTACAGTGTCTGCAGGGAGTAGACTTCTTAGTTCCCTTGCCTTCCAGCTGCCTTCATCATCGATGTAATCCTTTACCTTGAGCGTTCTTCCTTCTATAGCTCCGGGATGCAAACAAAATGCTTTCAGGGGACCCGTTTCCGCAATCCATTCATCCTCCCAGAAGTTTACTAGCCTTCCATCTCCCAGCGTCCAGTTTATATTCTTTCTGAAAATTTGCCAGATTTTTTTGAAGAATATTCCCCCCTTTTCCCTATTCATTCTTAATTTCTACACGTTTTCAGCCCACTGGACAGTTCAAACCGAAAGGCAACACCTAATCTTCGTAGTTGCATACAAACAGAACCCATGCTTTCATACACAAGCACAATTTAAAACCCAAACTACAAATCCAATTTCCTATATAAAATGAAACCGTGGCAATACAATTCAACTGGCTACACAGTACTTGCCCTCATATTTGGACTAAGGTTCCTAGAAACAAAAGGTGGATGGCTGATGGATCTCAACTATAAATAATGCTTAACATCCTACTTTTCTAATCAATAAACTCCTCAACCATTTTCTTTGTATTCTCTCTTGTATCACCTGAAATTTTCAGAGACACTTTTGATCTTGAGAAGCCAACTAAAGAGCTGAAAGGATGAGTGTGGAAGTGTTGGACAATGCCACCATTGTTAGCTTCGTCGAAGATGAAGAAGTCTTCAATGTCACAATACTGAACCGGTTCGCTCACTTGGACGCCGACCATGACGGGCTACTGTCTTACGCGGAGCTGTTGAAGGAATTGCAGAGCTTGAGGGTGTTTGAGACTCATTTCGGCATTAATAACTTAACTTTTTTGTCACTCTGCCATTAATTTTAGGGTAAATTACATAATCGATAGCTGGCCTTTCCTCTCCGCCTTATTTTGATTATTGTATTTTAAAAAATTTCAATTTAATAATTAAACTTTACACAATAATTTTTTTAGTCATCCCATTGTTAACCTTTTAACAACATTATGACATAGTTTAGTTTCACCATCCAAGGAAAAAAAACCACAAAAAGTGTTTATTTTCAACAGTTCCATCTCTCTCATGTTATTCTTTTGGCTTGACTTCACTCTCCAAGCTCAACAACAAACTTACATTTTTAATTTCCGTCTCAACACTGTAGTTTTTCCGCCAAACGCCATTTATATGAAGCACAAATTAATATTTTTTTTAGGGTGTACACGTATATATTAATAATTTTTTTCGTATGAAATAGATACAAATAAAATTTTAAAGTAGATATCATCAATAAAATAAACATCTAATATAAAAGAATTTAGATTTCAAGGTAGGCAGGTGACCACCTTGAATCCCAGGTACATCCGCCGTTGCTTATAGAGCCGATCTCCTAGACCGAAGAGAAGATAATGATGGAAAAGCACGTCGTCGTTGGCTGGGACCACCACCACTTACAGAATCGCTGGCTTTTGGCTCTTCTCTTAATGCTTTATGTTTCATTATTGCATTCTTCATGAGAGCCGCCTTCGATTCGTGTGATTGGAACATTTTTATTGAGAAACGAACTCCACATATCGCTGATGTGAAGCCGAGTTCGTTCAGTTTCATGAAGTCGAAGGTCATTCTACTGGTGTCGCACGAGCTCTCTCTTTCTGGTACTCTCCTTGTTCTTATTTCTGTTAATGGCTCTCAATCTTTCCTTTTTGTAGGTGAAGGGGGAGATAACTGCCTTGCTCCAAAGAATGATGCAAGGTCATATTTATTAACCAGCTTACTCGACTATGGTGGTGTGTTTCCCATGGTGGCGCCTGCCTCCTACGAACGCGACCGGATCGAACTTCTTGAGTTGTTCGACTTCTTGGGATTGACCAAGCACTCGTTGTATTTGATTTGGTCATAGCAATAGGAGATTAGGAGTATTCTGCTTCCTCGTAAAGCTATCAATCTTGCTTTTTTACGATGGGGTGATAGCGGTCGTGTGTTGTTCTAGACTTTGAAAGCTGTCGCACTTCTTTGACGAATACTCGATCGGATCAACCGCACAACCATAAAAGATCAATTCGGCAAGGAACCTGAGTCAAGCACTATCACTATGAGAAAAGCTCTGCTAATAATAAACTACGTGATCCCTTCTGTGGTCAAATGTGCGAGTTATGATGCGCCTCTAGTTCATCCATGATGGGAAACGAGTCTGGTTCTCGATTTGGCTTGAGATTGGTGTTTGGCCCATCATCATTCTCCCAATCGCTTATGCTTACTTTCACCGTTCCTGGACACAACCCAGTTCCCAAAACGAGATTTCCTTCATGAAACCACACTTTTTCCTTGATGTCGCCATCATTGGAACCCTCACTGGCCTTAACTACTACAAGACCTTATAATTTTATGTCTTACTGCATGGAGCAGGGGTTGACATCATAAATGAAATTTCATTACTTCAATTTTTTGGCCACATCCCAATAGACATACTAAAACACTTCTTAGGTTGTTGGATAATGAAAACAGGGTTGACATGCATGAGAAGAAAAAAATCATATATTTTTATTTTGGGAGAAAAACTTTTTCTTTTGAATTGTGTTTTTACGTGGTGTGCATGCATATATTAAAACAATATCTCCACATATACAGATGCAACTGGAACTTGACAAAGTGACAAACTAGGGAAGCAAAAACAATATCTCCAGAATCATAATGAAAGGGTTACTCTCATCCAGTGCATGCTTCCAAACATGCCATGTTGACCACATAGACACTATCAATTACAAGTATATGACACACCAGTTAGTTTCAGCCTAATATTATATGTAAAATAACGTAGCCAGAGTTTAGCAATAAAGGACCATACCAAGAAGGTCATATTAAAAAATGTTGCTGTGATGAAACCTATAGGATATGAAGAAGCCGCGACTAATAAAAAAATAGATTACTGCAATGAAACATGTACTTAATTTGATTGGAAAAAGAAATCGATAAAATTTATGATTTCTACAAATTATGGAAATACTTTATGTTCTAATTTACCAATAATTATATCATAATCGTGTTTGGGCATTATTCGGTAGGAATCTGATCTATGGGTCTCATTGTTTTTGATTAACCAATTGCTTTAACTATATTTGCTATAATCGAAGTTTAGACCCCAAGTATTAGATCCTTTGACTTTTGGGTTAAACAAAGGTTCGCTTTCTTTGAATATTTGACCATTTTGTTTTTCTCTACTCTATTAGAATTCTTAAATATTACAATGCACAGCCAATTGATTCTTTATAGCTGAGTAATGAAATTTTATGTTCAAATTAATTTTTAATAATTTTTAATAAATAACACATTAATGATCTTAGTGATAAAAATATTGATTCTTTTAGATTTTAAGTTCGAGCAACAACGTCTGCAAGATGTATTCGAATTGTCAATATATTAAAAAATTCAATAGATATTATATTATAATCACCGCAGACTATTAAAAAATATTCGAGATTAAAATTGAAATTACCTAAATTTGGGTTCTTTTTAAAGAATATTCTCCTTCTCTCCCTATTGATTCTTTCTACACGTTTTCAGCCCACTGGACGGTTGAAACGGAAAGGCAATACCAAATCTTTGTTCAAAACAAAACCCATGCTTTCATACACAAGCTCAATTTAAAACCCAAACAAAAATGAAACCGTGGCAATACAATTCAACTGGCTACACAGTACTTGCCGTCATATTTGGACTAAGGTTCCTTGAAACAAGAAGTGGATGGGCGATGGATCTCAACTATAAATAGTGCTTCACATCCAACCTTTCCAATCAATAAACTCCTAAACCATTTTCTTTGTATTCTCACTTTTGGAACCCAGCTGAAAGTATGAGTGTGGAAGTGTTGGACAGTGCCACCATTGTTAGCTTCGTCGAAGATGAAGAAGCCTTCAATGTCACAATACTGAACCGGTTCGCTCACCTGGATGCCGACCATGATGGGCTACTGTCTTATGCGGAGCTGTTGAACGAATTGCAGAGCTTGAGGGTGTTTGAGACTCATTTCGGCATCGACGTTAAGATGGACCCGAATGAGCTGGCTCATGTTTACAAGTCCCTGTTTGTGCAGTTCGATCATGACTCGAACGGGACGGTGGATTTGGAGGAGTTCAAGTCGGAGACAAAGCGAATGATGCTTGCTATGGCGAATGGGATGGGGTTCTTGCCAGTTCAAATGGTGTTGGAAGAAGGCAGCTTCTTGAAGATCGCTGTGGAGCATGAATCTGCTAAACTTGCTGCTTGAATTCTCTTCATTTCCAAACACCTAAATCCTTATTTGTTACAAGAACCGATATTTTGTTTTTTATTTGTCTCGACCATTTCCCATGTTTTACAATAAGATCTAGTATAGTATCCGAGTTGGTGTTTGAATCAAGACAATCATATTGTTTCTTATAATAAGATTGATAGCCATAGGTACTCCAGGGCAAGTTTCAGATCCGAATCTACCAGATATGTTGGGTGAAGCAGAATTTAACAAAATGGGCAGCTTTTCTCAGAAATAATAGTCTTCTTACAGGAATCAGCCTTTTAACAGGTTTCTAGGGCATTGAAACCATGATCAGAATCACTCCCTCCCAGACATGTTAAGACCAAAATTAAGGTAAACTTTTCAATAAACTGAAAAACATCCTAAACCATTCTATGTTTTAGACCAGAAATAGATGCAACATAGAAACCTGTCGTGCATTTACTATTATTTCTGGCCTTTCTTCCATAACACGCCAATCTTTTTCAGCATGTTTCCATTCTTTTTCTTGGATGAATCGTCGTCATCCATTTCTTCCAAGTTCGGCAAACCAGTTCTGGGGTTATAGTTTCTGTCGAGAGATTTTGTCCTGTCCGAATGTTTCCCGCTGTTCCCAGTCGAAAGCATGGCAGTAGCTGCCTCAGCTGCCTTTCTCCATTGATCTAACTGCACCTTCAGTCTCCGCAACTCGGCTTCCATCTCGGTATTTGCTTCTTCTGCTGCATCGAGCTGCTCGGTCGCCCGTGCTGCTCTTCGGCTACTCTTATCTGCTTCCTCAGTTAAATAGCCAAGTTTCATCAGCGCCTCTCGCTCTGCAGTCCGTGCTGCTTCTAACAACGCAACAGACTCTTCAACTTTATTGCTATCCGTTTTCATTTTCTTAATTTCCATTTTGAGCATCTCATTTTGCTTAGTTATGACCTGCAATTCTGTTTCCTTGGCTATCAAATTTGCTTTTAGTTCTGTCAAATCTGCCTCTAATTTCTTCAGCTCTATTGCAAGCTCGGATTCTCTTTGGCCAGACTGGTTTTTCTCAATCTTCAAATTCAGCCCCTTGTTTTCTTCAGAAATACTCTGCTTTTCAGTCTCCTTATCCATTAAGTTACCTCTCAGTTCATCAACATCAGCTTTCATTTTCTTTAATTCTTCCTCCAGTTCTGCTTCCTTCTGGCATGATTGCGCTTTTATGGGCTCCACTTGTTCATATGCACCTCTAATTTGCAGTGTGCTCCGAATATATTCTTCATGGTACCTAACCTCAGCTGCATCTAGTGCTGATCTCAATTGACTCACTTCAAGTTTTGCAAGATTAAGCTCCATGTTAAGCTTTGGTTTGTCCTCATTTTCTACATTCTGCTGTTGTTTATCGTCTTCGGAATCCTCAAAAGTTTTGCTGCTATTACCAATCAATTCAGCCTGGAGCTTGCTCACAAGTCCCTCCAGTGACTTAACTCTAGCTTTTGATTGCTCTAATTCCAGCGTTAATGTGTTGTGAGCTTCAGTTTCTTTAGTCCCTTCAGAGCGCAGTATTGCGACCGTTTTATTTGCTGCTTCGAGTTGTGTTTGAGTTTTTCGAACAACTTCAAGAGCATTGGACTCAGATTCTCTGCAATCAGCGAGCTCAGACTTAAGTTTTTCAACCAAGGAGAGAGTTTTGGTTAGTTCGATCCTCATGTTCTGAATCTCAGCATGTGCGGATTCAGTGTGCTTAATTTGAACAGCCTCAGATTCACATGTCTTTTCCAGCAGAGCTTTAAGCTTTTGAATTTCATTCATGGCAGAAGCCAAGGCAGCAGAATCCATTGAGTGTTGTTTCTGGACTGCCTCAAGTTCAGATTGCCATGCTCGATCTCGTTCTTGAGAAATTTTACGGAGTTCTTGCACACGGTCATCCTCAGAGGCAGAAATTTCCTGCAATTGCTGTTCGGTTTCTTGGAGCTTGGCTGACATTGCTGACTGCTGCTTCTTGGCCTCATCAGCCTCTTGCATGGCTCGCCTCTTCCATGACTCGGAAGCAGTCTGGTCTTTCGTCTTTTTTAAATCCTCTTGAAGTTGAGTGAGTTGCGACTCCAGTTCAGTCACTCTGTTTGGTTGCTTCTTCTAAAACTCACAAGCCAAGTGCAGACATTATGTAAATGGTAATAACTATAAGTTAACAGAAAAAAGTCCTGCAATATCGCAATTTACAATGAATCGAAATATCATCATTTCCGTTGCATCATCCTAGACTTACATAGAAACAATCTACTTTCGAAGTGACAAGAAATACCTCAGGTACTGGGCTTCTCAATACTCTGCGCTCAGCAACATTTGGACTTCTATCTTTGGGTGTCCTACTTTTAGTATTTGGTGAAGACACTGTGTCCGTATCAGATCTTGGTATCTTCAGTTGACGAGCAGTCCGAGGTGTTGCAGGAGATTTTCTCTGAGGCGCTTCTGCAGAGCTTGTTCTACTGTCCAAAACAACAAGAACATCAATAAACCTTATAGATGATGACTCTAAAAGATGCAACACATGACTAAAGAAAACAATTGCATCATAAATTCGGTTCTTCCGAGACGAAGTAACTACTATCGGAACTCGTCGACAGGTTAAATCATATATTGCACATCCGGTGGGACAACCTTGATAGATTACCAACAACTCCAAGATTTTACAGCCAATATCAATTCATCAAGAAAAGTACTTTCTTCTTTTTCTTTTCAAGGAAAATTTAAGACTGATGAAGGATTCAAGGACATCATGTACAATAAACAGCCTACTTTAAGGGGGGCAAAACAAATCATTAGAATGCTATAACACATTGGTGAACGAAGTGTTGGGAAATAAACTCAGTATGAGTAATTTTTCTATAACCAGATTAGTGAGAATGTGAAATAAAAACGAAAAATAATACCCGAGATTGATAACGGAGTTCAACCAATTTGCTTACGTCTCCGGACTGTTACAGATCTTTAACTAAGAGAGAAAATTTACAGGTGTTTACAAAACACTCACTACTCACAAGAAAGCTCTCTAGTATTAGGAGAAAGAAATGATTTTTGGGATGGATTTGAAGCTAAATGAGCTAGGGTATTTATAGTTGAAACCTAAGGACTTAATCATGTAAATACCCTAAAGTCTAGTGACTAATTATGATTATCCCATTACAATCTTTCAACAAACATTTACCAAACTTTGAAAACTATTTTTCAAGGTTGGTTGCCAAACTTTAAACTTTTAATTTGGTGCATTGCTTGACTTTCAACAATCTCCCACTTGAAGACTGATTTTAATCTGTCTTCACACCTCGATCAATGCAGTAACATTTCTGGTTTTGTTACTCCAGCATGCCAACTGAAGTTGAACACAACTTCAGTTTGTCCGTGGTCACCGTCTTTGTCAACATGTCTGTCGGATTTTGAGCTCCACTAATCTTTTCAAGTTTCAAAATCCCATCTTCCAGAAGAGACCGGATAAAATGATACCGTAATTGTATGTGCTTCGTTCTGGAATGAAAAGACGAATTCTTTGCTAGATGGATAGCACTTTGACTGTCGCAATACAAGACATTGTTTTATTGTTTCTTGCCTAACTCTTCCAAGAAACTTTGGAGCCAAACCATCTCCTTGCTGGCTTCTGTAACAACGACATATTTTGCTTCAGTTGTGGAGAGAGCAACTATCTTCTGTACTTGAGAAACCCAACTCACTGCAGTACCTCCTAGAGTATAGACATACCCTGTAGTGCTCCTTCTGATGTCAACATTTCCGGCTAAGTCAACATCTACATAGCCTGTCAGTATCGTATCTCCACTTTTGAAACAAAGTGCTTTGTTTGTGGTACCCCGCAGATATCTGAGGATCCATTTGACTGCTTCCCAATGTACCTTGCCTGGATTATTCATGTACCTGCTAACAGCTCCCACTGCATGAGCAATATCTGGTCTGGTACATACCATAACATACATCAGACTTCCAATTGTTGAGGCATACGACACCTTTACCATGTGTGCACGTTCTTCCTCCGTCTTTGGTGACTGTTCTTTGGAGAGTCTAAAATGAACACCTAAAGGTGTACTTACTGGTTTAGAATCTTGCATTTTGAACCTGGAGAGTACTTTGTTGATGTACTCAGCCTGTGATAACATCAAAGTCCCCGACTTTGAGTCTCTCTTGATCCTCATCCCAAGAATCTGCTTTGCAGCACCCATATCCTTCATAGCAAACTGCTTCGAAAATTTTTGCTTCAAGCGTATAATATCTTGCATGTCTGAGCCTGCAACGAGCATGTCATCAGCGTACAATAATAAAATAATGAAGCTGTTGTCGAAGCTCTTGATGTAGCAACAATGATCTGCTTGGCATCTGGTAAAACCACTGCTACTCATAAAACTATCGAACTTCATTTACCATTGTCTAGGAGCTTGTTTTAAACCATACAAGCTCTTCTTCAACCTGCATACCAGGTTTTTCTTGCCTGCCTCTATGAAACCTTCTGGCTACCTCATATAGATTTCTTCCTCTAAATCACCATGAAGGAAAACTGTCTTTAAATCTAACTGCTCAAGATGTAAATTCTCTGCAGCTACAATTTTCAACACCAGTCTGATTGTGGAAAGTTTTACGACTGGAGAGAAAATTTCATTGTAGTTAATACATTCTTTTTGCTGAAAACCTTTGACAACCAATCTTGCGTTGTAGTGTTTGCTCCTATCATGCTCTTCTTTGATCCTGTAAATCCACTTGTTGTGGAGCGCTTTCTTGTCTGGTGGTAATTCAGCTAATTCCCACGTCTGATTTGACATAAGCGAGTCCATCTCATATTTCATGGAAGACTCCCACTTGATTGAATCCTCCACTTGCATTGCTTCATCATAGCACTCTGGTTCACCATTATCAGTCAGCAACAAGTAGTGCAAAGAAGGAGAATATCGTTGGGTTGGTTTAGGAATTCTGGAGGAGCGTCTTATTTCCGGTGTGCCTGGTTCTTCTTGAACTGCTTCAGGACTGATATGAACATCATTTCCAAAAATCTCCTTGAACTCAGCAAATTCCTTTGTTTCAGCTTCGATGTTTGAGCTACTTGATTCTATGGTTAATCTGTCTTTGTACATCACATTCTCATTGAAAATGACATATCTACTTCTGATGATCTTCCGATTTTCGTAGTCCCAAAACCGGTAACCGAACTCATCACCACCATAACCAACAAAGGCACATTTGTTGGACTTGGCATCAAGTTTACTTCTTTCAGCAGAGTTTATGTGTACATAAGAAATACAACCAAACACTCTTAAGTGTGAAAGGTTTATTTCTTTCTTGCTCCAAACTTCCTCTGGTATTCTGCCATCCAAAGGAACCAAGGGCCCATGGTTGATCAAGTAAGCTGCAGTGTTGATAGCTTCAGCCCATAGAAATTTGGGCAATCCGGCATGTATCCTCATGCTTCTGGCACGTTCATTCAGAGCTCTGTTCATGCGCTCTACTACGCCATTCTGCTGCGGTGTCATGGGAACTGTTGTCTCCATCTTGATCTCATTATTTGCGCATAAATCTTTGAATCTACGATTTCTGTACTCTCCTCCATTGTCAGACATCAACCGCTTGACTTTCAGACCAGTCTCATTTTCCACCATGGCCTTCCATTTTCTGAAGGTATCAAAGACTTCTGATTTCTTCTTCAGAAAATAAACCTACACCTTCCTTGTAGAATCATCGATGAAGGTGACATAATATAATGAGACTGCAAGAGATGGAACTGGAGATGGTCCCCATACATCAGTATGAACCAACTCTAACTTTTCAGCCTTGGGTGTCATACCAATCTTTGCAAAGCTGACTTTCTTTTATTTGCCAAAGATGTAATCCTCGAATAGTCCGACATCTACATTCTTTAGATTCGGTAACTTCCCCTTTGACAAAAGTGTCTTCATCCCTTTCTCGCTCATATGGCAAAGCCTTTGGTGCCATAGGTTTGATTTTCCATCAGCATATGCTACTGCAATGATATCCTCTAAATTTGAGGTTATATAGAGAGTACCAGTTTTCTTACCACGAGCAATGACGAGTACTCCTTTGGTAATCTTCCATTCACAGCCTGAAAAGGTTGTGTTAAATCCTTCACCATCAAGCTGTCCTACAGAAATCAAATTTCTTTTGAGGCCAGGAATATGTCTCACTCCTTTCAGCGTCTAGGTGGTCTGGTTTGGCAACTTTAATCGGATGTCTCATTTTCCTACGATCTTCAAGGTTTCATCATCGGCTAGATAAACCTTTCTAAAATCACCACTGACATAGTTCTCCATGATTTCTCGACATGGGGTGGAGTGGAAAGATGTCCCTGAATCCAAGATCCATTATTCAATCGGACTGTTGACGCTTAGAATTATGACATCACCTGTCTCCTCTATCACGTTGGCAGAATCCTGTACGCCGGTATTTTTCTTCGGTGGTCGACAATCTCTTTTAAAATGACCATTCTTTCCGCAGTTATAACATGTAAAATATTTCTTTCCCGTTCTTGATTTTCCCGTTCTGGATTTCGATATGCCTCGGTTTGAATTTCTTTCTGAAGTTCTCCCTCTAGACTCCGTGTGCAAGGCTGAGGAGGTTGATGCTTCACCCGATTCTCTTCTTCGAATTTCTTCACTCAATACCAGATCCTGAACATCGTCGAATTTTAATTTATTGTTTCCCGACGAGCTGCTGACTGTTGTAACAGTAGCATTCCAACTGTCTGGTAGAGATGATAAGAGAATTAAAGCTCGAACTTCATCATCAAATTCAATTTCCACGGAACTCAACTGGATTGTGATTGTGTTGAGCTCATTTAGGTGTTGACCCACTGATGCCTCTTCCGCCATCCGCAAATTGAATAATCGCCTCATCAAATGAACTTTGTTTGAGGCCGATGGCTTCTCATACATACTGGAGAGAGCCGCCATAAGACCCGTCGTGGTCTTTTCCTTTGCTATGTTGAAAGCAACATTTCGGGACAACGTCAGTCGGATAACTCCGAGGGCTTGTCTGTCAAGAAGAGCCCAATCTTCATTCTTCATGCCCTCTGGTTTCTTTCCTGAGAAAGGTTGATAGAGATTTTTCTGGTACAAAAAATCTTCAATCTGCTTCTTCCAAAAACCAAAGTCCGCACCATCGAACTTTTTAATTTTCACCTTCCCTTCGTCTGCAGCCATCGCTCCCACTCGAATCTGGATTCGTTTGGATCGTTTCCGAAAATTCTTGCGAACCACCGTGTATTAGAACACCTCCGTCGACAAACTCGTATCGCCGACAAAATTTTTACTATTCACGAAATTTACTATTCACGTGAATAGTGATGAATAGTAACCTCACAAAAATTGACAAAATTCATAACCAAAAGCTCTGATTACCAGTTGTTGGGAAATAAACTGAGTACGAGTAATTTCCCTATAACCAGATTAGTGAGAATGCGAAATAAAAGCGAAACATAATACCCTGAGATTGATAACAGAGTTCAGCCAATTTGCTTACGTCTCCGGACTGCTGCAGATCTTTTACTAAGAGAGAAAATTTACAGGTGTTTACAAAACACTAACTACTCACAAGAAAGATCTCTAGTTTTGGGAGAAAGAAATGATTTTTGGGATGGATTTGAAGCTAAATGAGCTAGGGTATTTATAGTTGAAACTTAATGACTTAATCATGTAAATACCCTAAAGTCTAGTGACTAATTATGATTATCCCATTACAATATTTCAACAAACATCTACCAAACTTTAAAAATCATTTTTCAAGGTTGATTCCCAAACTTTGAACTTTTAATTTGGTGCATTGCTTGACTTTCAACACGAAGATCTTACCTTGCTTTAGGCGTCTGCATGATTCGGTGTTCCCGCAGAGTTGAATCAAAGTGATGAAAGGGCAAAATATATGTACTCTGATTTGAAGTTCAAACCCCACAAATGGTCATCTAACCCACACCACCTGCAAATAATTCAAAGAAACCGCAGGCTGAGAAACAACAATGGAAGGGTGAATTAGAACACATAAATATAGAGAAAAGAACAAATGGTTCATGAAAGCAGCTTTCAGTCTCTAATCAGTATACAACAAGGCCTAACAAACAAACAATACAATTACAATGCCTTCAAAGAAACTCCATGGGAGCTCGTTCCAACCTTTTTTTTCATTTTTAGCTTTCTTTTTTGCTAACCTTTTTAGTGAAAAAGATGATGCAAAACCATATTATTATAACCAGTGAACCCGCCCCGCCCCCCCCCCCAAAAAAAAGAGAAAATATTTTCCCTATATTTTCATTTTGGTACAACAAATTTGTGACCAGAGCTCGTTTAACTCCATGAAAAATCTAGTATTTTCATCTTCAAATATGCTTGTCAACTGAGAAAGTAAAGCATGGAAAGCCGACTTAACTAAACAAAGCAAAACTGGAATATAGTGAGTCAAATGAAGAAAAACAGGGTTTCAAGAAAATGCCTCACTTAAGTGTATATATATAGGTAAAAATTGGGTATGCATTGTTCAATCTTCAGCTGTCTAAGCGAAGACCGATAAAAACTGTTTAAATCAAGAGCAAGTTACTGAAAAGAAAGCTTAAGACGCAGAGCTAAAAACAGTGTTCCAAGTTAAGTCCAAAATACTTGAGCAGCTATAACTTTGAGAAAGAAGGGATGGAAACTTGATTGTTCTTCATTTAAAGGGGAAAGGAAGTGAGAGAGAGAGATTTAAACAAGCTTCGACATTTGTGAAGTCACATTTTATTTTCCTAGTATAAAATCAGCAGAGAAAAATGGTATTTTTCTTTAAAAATAAAGAAGCACAAAAGGAGGCATTATTACAAACATAAAAGTTAGCAACAAAAAACCAAGAAAGAATTTGACAATTTCTGACTCACTTTGAGTTTGGTTCACGAAATGTAAGATTATGAAATAAAAGATTATCAGAGAATAGGATTACTGGGAATATTATAATTTGTGTTTGGTTAGTTTAGCAGGAATGCAATATTACCGTGTTTGATTAAATGAATAAAAGATTATTGAAATGTATATTTGGTCAAATAGTCCTTATTATATATTTATTTTTTTAACAAGTTGAATTCTACTATAATATTACTATAAGATATTTATATATTTTCTTTACAAATTTAATTTCATAAAATTTATATAATTTTTTTGACAAAATTAAAAATATAAAAAGATTTAATGAAATGGTAAAATTTTATTTTAACTCCTGAACTTTATATAAAATTTTAATTATAGATTTTTTTTGTAAATCTAAAATATTTTAAAGACAAATTTTTAATTTAACCTTCGTAGAATTTTTATTTTTCAATGATAGAAGAAGGATATTTTTGAGAAAAAAAATTTAAAGGCATTTTACTCCAAAACGTCGGTAATCAAACAATACCTAAAGGAAGGGGTAATGACATTTCCGGTAATATACCAAAAAAAATCCATTGTTGGTAATAAAACATTACTGGGAATGAGATTACCGACCAACCAAACAGGAGAATGTGGATTCTATTCTCATGGTAATCTTACATTCTCCGAACATGTTAGAGAATTATCTTTTTGTTTATACCATAAATATTTATCATTAACTTCTTTATTACCTTCACTATCTGTAACAAACTATGAGGGAACTTATAGAGATTAAGAAGATATATTAGACTGATATATGAGGAAGACTTATTACTACTGAAAGAAGAAGTCCAGATGAGAAGTATTATTTGATAACATATCAATATACAATCTTACCAATGAACTCAACTCTTGATCTACATTTATAGATCCTATACATTCTGTAACAGAAAATTGATAGTTATATCAAACTAACATACTTGTGTTGAGAAGAGAACCATTTACCAACATTAATTAACCTTAATCAATAAAATATATGACTTCTACAAATTATTAAAATACTTTTTGTTCTAGTTAATTTCTTTCGAATGATTATTCGGGCTAAAGATAATAATTAATTATGGTAATCGTTTATATGATTAAGGAATTGTGAATAATGATAAAAAGATAAAGAAATCGGTATGAGCAATTGAGATAAGAAAAAATGACTATTATTTTGGAATTGTATTTTAAGCTTGAATTTATGATGATTTGATTTATTTTTTTCGTTGGAGAGAGTGGGTACCCTAGGTACAAATTAACCTAGTGTTTCCACCTGTCTCATACAATCAGCCTCTTGAGGCATCTGCTCAAATACGTGTAAACCAGTGGGGAGCTTCCATGCATACTTAGCTAGCTTGTCAACTTCCTTGTTCTTCTCCCTGGGGTGTATTCAATTCTGACTGTCCACTCAGCCTTTAGCATATCATCAATGTGTCGCAGAATCGTAAGATGCCTCATTTCCTCTCGTCCTGTTTTGATGACCTCCACTGCATCTCTGCTGTCCGTCTCGAGTAGTATTTTTTAGCTCCACTTCTCCTAGCACTTTTAAGACCCTCGTAAATGCCCCATAGTTTTGCCTCTAAAATCGAGCAAAAGCCAATCCTTTTTGCAAATCCTTCTCTCCAACCTCCTGTAGAGTCTCTAATTACTCCGCCACTAGTAGTTTCTCCCGTGCTACTGTTTCGGGCTCCATCCGTATTAATCCTAGTCCACTCGGTAGTTTGGTGGTTGTTTCCTTCTTGTTCTTGGCTGCACCATCTGGCTTCATGAAAGTTTTGTTTTTGGAATGCTTTGCTAATTTGTTGCGTTAGTCTGAAACCTTTCTCCAATATTGTTTCCCTCTCTATTAGGTTTGGTTCGAAGTTCGAACACTCCTTTATTTCTTCTATCCCAGATCGTCCAAATTAGTGTCCCAAAGAGAATTCCCCATTCATTCTTATTGGTAGCTGGGAATGAGTCTTCCACCAGATTCTTCCTAATCCATTCTCTGATGTTACACGTTAGAAACTCCTCTAACTTGCTTGGTCTGATCAGCTGTCTCCATAACATAAAGGCAGTAGGGCAAGTTCTTAAAACATGGCTTATGTCCTCCAGTTCCGCTCCACAACTCCGGCTGCTAGTGTCTGTTGTCAGGTGTCTCCGAGCACGTTCTTCATTAGTAAGGAGCTTTTTAATGGTTACCAGCCAAAGGAAGCATTTTATTCTGGGGAGGGTTTGGCTTTTTGCAATAACCTGCAAGATTTCTCGTGGATCTCATCGTTTACTCCTTCCATAACTTTGTAGGCAGATTTTCTTCCATGCAGGTTTATCCATTCCCAGGTTGTTTAAAGGCGGGGGAATGGCTCGATTCTTTGTGCAGTGTCTGCAGGGAGTAAACTTATTAGTTCCCTTGCCTTCCAGCTGCCTTCATCATCGATGTAATCCCTTACCTCGAGTGTTCTTCCTTCTATAGCTCCGGGATGCAAACAAAATTCTTTCAGGGGACCCGTTTCCGCAATCCATTCATCCTCCCAGAAGTTTACTAGCCTTCCATCTCCCCGCGTCCAGTTTATATTCTTTCTGAAAATTGGCCAGATTTTTTTCATACCCTTCCAGAGGTGTGAGCAGTTGTCTTGGTTAAGGGAATCAGGGGTCAGTTTTTTGATTCTGTATTTTGCACGTAGAATCTTCACCCTTAAAACATGCAGTCTGGTTACCATTTGATAGGCGATTTTCATGAGAAAAGCCATATTCTGAGTCCTCATATTTTTGAAACCCATGCCTCCTTGTTTGGGTTGGTTGCATAAGATTTCCCAGTTCACAAGGTGTATCCCACGGCTGTTCTGGTTATTGCTCCATATAAATTTTCTTATAATCTTCACAAGGTGTATCCCACGGCTGTTTTCATGCCTCCTTGTTTCTTAGCTTGGTCGGGAGTCCTATGTCTTCAAGGATGTCTTTTATGAAATCCCATTCCTTCATGCGTTTTCTCCAAGATGATTTGATTAATTTAATAGTATGCTTGTCCAGTAGCTCAATTAAATGTCATTTTAGAACCTTGTTTGCTTAATCAAATTTTTTTATTAATCAATTGCTTTAACTGTATTTGTTAGAAGTGGATCTTAGACCCCAAGTTTTTGACCCTTTGACTTTGGGTTAAAGAAAGGCTGACTTTCTTTGAATATTTAACGATTTTGTTTTTCTCTAGTACTCTATTGTCTTCTTGAATATTACACTGTAGAGCCCATTGATTCTTCATAGCTGAAAAATAAATTTTTACTTTAAATTAATATTTATTATTTATTATAAAAAAATTATTCGAGACTAACATCGAAATGTACATATGCTTCGGTTCACGTTTTGTTTTTGAAGAATATTCCCCCTTTTTTCCCTATTCATTCTTAATTTCTACACGTTTTGAGCCCACTGGACAGTTCAAACCGAAAGGCAACACCTAATCTTCGTAGTTGCATACAAACATAACCCATGCTTTCATTCACAAGCACAATTTAAAACCCAAACAACAAATCCAATTTCCTATATAAAATGAAACCGTGGCAAAACAATTCAACTGGCTACACAGTACTTGCCCTCATAATTGGACCAAGGTTCCTAGAAACAAAAGGTGGATGGCTGATGGATCTAAACTATAAATAATGCTTAACATCCTACTTTTCTAATCAATAAACTCCTAAACCATTTCCTTTGTATTCATTCTTGTACTACCCGAAATTTTCAGAGACACTTTTGATCTTGGGAAGCCAACTAAAGAGCTGAAAGGATGAGTGTGGAAGTGTTGGACAGTGCCACCATCGTTAGCTTCGTCGAAGATGAAGAAGCGTTCAATGTCACAATACTGAACCGGTTCGCTCACCTGGACGCCGACCAAGACGGGCTCCTGTCTTACGCGGAGCTGTTGAAGGAATTGCAGAGCCTGAGGGTGTTTGAGACTCATTTCGGCATCGACGTTAAGATGGACCCGAATGAGCTGGCTCATGTTTACGAGTCCCTGTTTGTGCAGTTCGATCATGACTCGAACGGGACGGTGGATTTGGAGGAGTTCAAGTC